AAGTTCTCACTGAAGTATTTTATACCACCCTGTGTACGTATACACACAGATAAACCTTATGGTTTTAATCACATTACTCCATCCAACCCTCATTAACGCTTTTTGCTGGTTGATTTTGCGTGTATATAAGTAAGTACAGTACGACAGAGTATAATAAATTACTCCAGACATCCACTCACAAGGGAATCGATAAGTCGTATTTAATGTACCTAATGGGAAAGGCAGTGACTAAGCAAACTTTACTTTAAAATCTTCCGAAGTTCTACCTATTACCAACATACCTATAGCAATTCTCGAGAATCGTACAAATAATAGCCGAGGCATTTTACGTTCATCAATCATCTCTTCAATTAATTCGCTCTGATTTTAACCTGGGGAAAGTACTATAAAAATTCAAAGGTAGTAAATTATTGCGCGCAGTGAAGAATGTAATGGATCTGAAGTTTGACTCGCCCGTTCGAGGTTTTTCCGTCCATTAGGGGTTTTTGAGACCGGCATTCAAAGATGAGGAAACTTCGTTTAGTGAATTTAAAATGTATGCCAGGCAAATCTTATTTTTCTTCTACTGGACAGTAGATTTTGCATTATGAGGCTACCACGTATCCTCCTATCTTTCAGAGACTGCATATTAGGCGGTTGAAATGTGTCTCGTAACTACCAAATCTTTAGACACTATTTTAATCAAATTATGAATTTGATAATTATGTAATTAAAGTGTCCAACTTTAAAAATTTACTGTGGCAGTCCTAATCAACCGATTTCAATTTTTCATAAACCATTTGAAAAAATTTTCAAGTATCCAGATGCTTTATTAGAGGCTGTGCAAAATTTTAAAAAATTGATAATTTTTTTCAATTTTTTTTTTCAAAAATTTATTTTGCGAAATGTATTGAACCGATTTTAATGAAATTTGGTGTGTTGTTTTATTATACTATAAAGTTTTTTTTACCAAAATTAGAATGCCCTCGGAGCAATTAAAACATTTTTAAAAAATTATCCAAGAAAACTTGTTTTTTGCCTTTTTTTTCATCAATTTTGCAATTTTGAAAATGTTCCGGCCTCGCCCAGATCCAGGGATCTACACTTTTATTATGTGAGTTATACTGAAGGTAATCCAGAAAAAATTTGAAGGTATTTATAACCAACCCCCGAACATATTTTTGTCATTTTTTTGTGTAACAAAGTGGCTAGTCTACCGGAAACAAACGCTTCATTGGTCATAAAACCAAACCGCTTACAGCTACCTAAAATTTCATATATCGTTCATTTTTTTTGGCATCGTGTAAGTTTTTAAGAAGATATTCCGATCGAAGAAGAATCCAAATAAGGTCTATTATATATTTTTCTCTACCTATATTAAAGACGTCTCTAGTTTTGGACAAAACCGCTTTAACTTTATGTTAAAATCACTGCGTCTTTCTCTTTAATCAACAAAGACAATTAAACATTAAAGGAAAAGACAACCATACAACAGCGGTGAACTCTGATGTAAATCTAGACAAATAATGATGCTGCTTTTAATGAAAATGTGGTTATACGGAAGTGCAGCTCGTACAGTGAAGTGTCTTTGACTTGGGGAGATTTCAAGGTTTTCTTTGAAATTTGAGAATGAACCCATATTAATTATTTTTTTAAATAAAAAATACATATTAATTTTATAATGCTTAACCATGTCCTGTACATGGTATTACTTTTATAAATTGTAAAATATATTTGTAATTTGCAACCAGTAGCCCATTAAAAATTAAAATTACGAACATATTCACTTGTATTAATTCTTTAATACAACATAAATTGCCCCAAATATGGTTATATTTAATATTGTAATTAGTCCAAATTTATATTCACATTTTATAGCAAAAATCCATTTATGTTCAAAATACTAACAATGCGATGTTATTAAATATCAAATTCATTAAAATTATTACTGACCCGCTTTAGGCAAAGGCTAATTTAATTGCTTTTTATTTTTTGTCAAAATACGCAAATAAATGCTGAAATAACATTTGTAACGGGTCGCATATCAAACCCCAACTGGGCAAAAGTAAAATTAACGTCTTTTGATTATGTCTTATGATCCTCAAATGAGCAGTAAAACAATTTTAATGTACTTAGGCCAAACATAAAACAACTCGTGTAGCTGGCCATTTGCTTTTGATTTCAAATAAAAAATTCGCCTCTTTGAAGCCAAATAAAATACAGCACGACTAATTAACTGGGGCTCTTTAAATAATTTCTATGGCATTTCTCAATAGAATTTTCATAACTTTCATTAAGTCCTCTTTCCGTGAAAAAGGGGGACATGGCACACTCCTTCCAAAAATAAATATAGCTTACAGTTTTCTAAATTTCGCAAATACAGGGTGTGTATGGGTGTGTGTATACTACTTTGTAAGCTTTAAAATACTAGTTTCAATTTTACTGCCCGCTTTCACCGGACTTACATAGTTTTCATTTCATGCGTATCATTGGCGGCTTAATTTTGTTGCTACTTTGTTATTTCTGAAAAACACGTACTATTACCCTTAAAAACGTACCCCTGCGTAAAGTTCCACCCTATATCCTTACACGACATCTTTTTCCTTTCTTTCCAACTTTGCACAGCGTCATATTTTATTAATTTCCCCGCCAAATCATCCAAAGCATTTCGGAGGTTTATTCTGCGGTTCAAAAACTTTTTATATCCCCCCGAGGGCTAACTTTTTCTAACTTTTTTGTTGACCGAAGGAAGCTAAAGAATACATTAATACAATCTGATGTTTGCGCGAGTCAGAGGAGATATACAATCGCATGCCGGGATATTTACGTTCGTAAAAGATGAAGAGGGAAAGATCAATAAGAAAAATTGGGGATAATGGTCTATTATACAGATAAGTTTACGTGAAAGGTATAGGTCTGCGAGTATCCATGAGCTGTCTCCATATCGACATCTAAATAATCGGAACAGCCCATTGAACACGTATTAGTTGCGTTCATGCCGGTTTATATTCGGTCCCTGGGGGGTTGCTATTTTTAGAAAAGGCACGCGCGAAGAAACATCGGCTCACTTTTTAAATCATCTGTGTGATGGAAATTTTACATCTGAGCCCACACGGCGACGCGAATGACTTTTTTGTGAACAAGCACTTAAAGTTGAGAGTTCGAAGTAGGGAACTGATTTTTAATTCAGCGGCGAAGCCCAGCTTAAAAAGTCGCCTGCGGTTTTATTTAACCTCGAGTCTATTCAGGAAATTCGTAATTTTTTTTAAGCAAAGTTGGTACACGCTTCTGTCAGTGTTTCATTTTATGGCTAAATCTTCTATGAAATAAACTGTGTGTTAGAAAAACTTAGGCTTAGACTTAGTTTCATAAGCTTTTATTGACACAAATATTGTAACGAAGATTATGACTGATGCACTTCGTATAATCTTAATTAATTTCCAGAACTGCATTAGTCTTTATCTGTACCCCATCAGTTGACCTAATCCCAAATCAAATTTTAAAACGATTGTTGGGAATTAAATTATAGATCTCTAAAATTTCATTTGTTTGTTACTTGTTTTGAATAACGCCCCCCTCAGAGAAGCACTTTCAAGCTTATATTTGTTAGAACAGTTTTCCTTAGTTTTGAACGTAGTATCTAACGAGGAAATTTGGTAGGTTGGTTATAGAACTGTGTATTTCAGATCCTTCTAATCTTTAAAATGATTATAAAAAAGATGCCGGGGATTTAACATAACTTTATATCTCCCAAAGTCGACTAAAAAATTTTAAAAAGTGTTTTTGTTGCTAAGGGGAAACTGCTGTAGAGACAAGCGAGTATAAACTTTGTGAATACACAGAAAGAAAAATTCTGAGCTGTAAAAATTACTTTTGAAATGCAAATTCGTAATATAGAAGCATTTGCTTACTAAATTCACAATTTATTTACTTGTAACTGAAAATATTATGCCATAAGTATACGAAAACATTAAAATTACGTAAGTAAAGTCATGATGCAAGTTTATGGAAAATACGGATATACTTTTACAAAATGTGCATTTTTGTGAAAAAAAAAACATTTTCGATTTAAGAAAATGAATAAAAGATGCAAAATTTATCGTTTAATTGATTTTTTGTAAAAGTGAAAATTTCAATCATTCGAATCAAAATGAAAGAAAAATCGCAACGACTTAATATCTCGAGGGTTTCTTTGGGATACTTTGAAGTTAAAAAAATACTAAAATATCCTTAGCCTATTCATTATTTGTAAGGTTATCACAAGTTTAGCGAAAATTCTTAAATACGTAATTTTGTACCGACCTTTTTTATCAAAGTTTCTTGCAACAAAAAAAAAATGATCAAAAAATGATAAGAGCGTCTCATAAAGGAGCTTTGTAGTTTTCAAAACTCTGTTTAGATTTTCTGTAGGGCCATTAAATCTCGGGTAATTAATTATTATCAACGTTAAAAAGGTCTTGAACAGCTCAAGGAAGATAAATCAATTTAAAAGAGCTGAAGGTGCCAAAAAAAAATTGAAGCCCGCGGACTTTTCGAAAGGGACGCAAAAATTTTGAAAATTTTTTATCTGCTAGAGTCTTATGAGTTCTTAAAGGTGGTGAATGATCAAAATTTTTGACTTTCAGAACCTGAAACCATAAACTTTAAACTTTCAGCTAATTTGCTTTTGTTTTTATTGCTCTAAGACCATTTTTCGTTAAATTGCAGCCTAAAAATGTAGGATTTACTGATTTATCCTTTAAATTTTGTGATTTTCTTTAACTTTCAACACACTGTGTCACGAAATCGAAACGATGATAGTTCATAGAAACTTTTTTCCGTAAGAGCCTTATATTGGGCTCTATATTGACATCGCTCCCCATCGCACGCGGTGAAATTCGAAGAATTTCGACAAAACCCCACCCCCCGCGAAATATCTTAATAAAGAGCCTCTACGGAATGCCCGCCTCCGACAGAACGCCGAATATTATTTATTCCGCAGACATTTGTCCTCTCCCATTCTATTATACATTAATTTTCAGCTTGCAGAAACACGTGAAGAATGCTTCGGATGTCGAATATCCGGCGTACGGCGTCACTGGGCCCAACAAGGATATATCGCCGTCGGGAGACAGGCGGCTGGCCCAATCGGCCCAAATGTACCACTACCAGCACCAGAAGCAGCAGATCATAGCCATGGAAAGGTAAGGGAGGGTTATTTTTCTTAATAGCAACTATTTTTGTTATTTGGACCAAGAATAATCCGGTTTGCGAAGCCCAAAACATCGTGATTGTGGTCATTTTCCATAAATTTAAAAAATTTTTCACAACTGGGCTACAAATATGTTATAGAAAACACACTTGTGTGACAATGACGGCCTTGAGTGCATGTTCTAATGGTAATATTGAAAAAAAACTATTGGCTCAGTGTAAAAAATATACTAGAAATATGAACTTAACAGGTATTTGCTTTGAATGAATGAAATTTGTGAATTTGTGAATTTGTGAAATTTGAATGAATGAATGAAATTTGAATGAATGAATGAAATTTGTAAAATATCCGTCATTATCATTTTTTTACATATACAGGGTGTCCCATAATTAGTATGCAATACTTTAACAGTAGATTCTACAATTAAAAATAAGATTTTTTCCTATAAACCAGGGTCGAAAAATGCTTCCTAGGGAAGCTACGCCCCCCTAAAAGGAGCCTCAGGAGATCATATTTTTCAAAATGTTTCCAAGGCCAGTTGACGTATCATTATGAATTTTGGTATGTTGACATGATGACACTCAATTAATGTTCTAACGAATTACGCGAAAACTGTTTAAAAATTTTAGTAAATGGTAAAGTTTTAAAAAATAAAGTTAGGTTATTTTCTCAACAGACCTCGAATTTACCATAAAGAACCTAAGTATAGTAATTGCTAAATGGATTATATGGAGGTAATAACAGTGAAACGGGGGCTTTTGCGACGACTGGTAGAGCACTCAATATACTTCGTATATTACTGAATTATAGATGAACTGGAAAATTACATTTATACCTAGTAGATATTTAATAGCCTTAATGTTCCATTCCAGCGAAATATGTACGTTTATAGGTATCTAATGAAAAGGAACTATTTCATATCCTCCAAGACATGGTTTGAAAAAAACATTCTTTTACCAAAAGTATATTCACTTTGGAAAATACAGATCAGGAAGTTGTTCGCTTAAGTCACGAAAAAAAGATTTAAAAAAGAGGACACTGTTCACAAAATAACATTTTTTCTTGAAAATAATTATACCGCGCTTTTTATTCTAAAAACACCTTACTATTTGACATCTCCATCTTCCATCAGCTATTTTCTAGTTGAAAGAAATACCACCACGAACTACCAAAACTTAGAACTAACTATGTCTTCATAACCCCTAGTTAATGAACTCCAAGCAAACTTCGAGGTTGACCCATAACGTTGCATATTCCCAGCTGATCCGATATTACCTTTCACGTATCTCGGTGGCTATGTAACTCCCACGATGGGCAGACCTATGTCATCCCTTACTTCAACAAACTGGCGCCCGATTTAAATAATACAGAGCCGTATTTATTCAAGTCGTCTGGTTCGAGTTATTAGTCAACTAACTCCGTCATTCCAGCGTATTGCGGCTTGGCAAACATCTGCCGTTGATGGATAGTTAACATTGTTAGTTGGGTTTCATTCTGCATCTGATATCCGTTCTCAAATATTTCAAATATTAATATTTGAGTAGCGTTCTAGCTGGAAACTCTAAACCAAATCGGGATAGTATTATTTGTACGTTTTAAATGAATGTATAGCGCGTGTTCTAAATCTATCTCATAATTTAAGGACGTCCTTTGGATTTTGGGTGCTAAACCTTACTCAAATTTTTATGAAATCTCTTGCAAATGACTGAAATTGACAGAAATTGTGGGTAGCAGTTTTAGTTGTACTGAAATATTATTTTTAATTGTTGCTTTATCATCGTTAACAGTCACTTTTGTTGTCAGGGCCCCACCAGGAGACAGACACGGCTCTGTATCAGATGCAGACAGCGATGAGGAAAATGAAGAGGGCGACTACACCGTCTATGAATGTCCAGGATTAGCTCCAGTAAGTATATTTTGCATTGAAATAAGATTAACCATTTTAGTTTTCTTTTTCTATTGTTTCTTAAAAAATAAAAGGGAAAATTAAGGTCTTCTAATTGCCACGTAAAGGAGGTGTTATTTACCAGTCGAGGACGATTTTGCGCCCGAGCGGAGCGAGGGCTGGCCATAGAGTTTGAGACTGGTAAATTATACATAACTGCTGCGTGGTGTATAATTTATCTGCTCTCACAGTTCTTTATGGTTCATGAAATAAAGATTAATTAGTTCTCGTCTGGGTTCCGTTTCTCACCTAGAAATTCTCAAGAAATATATCAAGATTAGATTGGAAATTAAAACTGAAATTTCACGCTTTTTTATCCGCTATCTAGCAGGTAGATGTCCAACCAACCAGTCGGCAAGAATACCCTTCTATGATTCCTAATAAGATTGCACAGTTTTTGAAACTGGAACATCCTGAAACATATACAGGCCATTCATTCCGAAGAACATCGATAACGTTACTGGCTAATTCAGGAGTTGATGAATTAACAATCAAGAGACATGGTGGGTGGAAATCAGCCACAATTACAGAAAGTTATGTTGCTGACTGTTTAAGTAACAAAAATGAAATAGATAACAGGATTCTTTACAATGACACTTCACGTCGCATCATGCTGTTTTAATGGATCGTCATGCAGATAATATTGAGCCTCCGGTGATTGAAATGGAGCGGTCAAATCATTTTGAGGAACATGTGACAATTAGTAAACGCGAGGGGAATAATTATCCAGATTTTATCCAGATTTAAAAACAATGTTTAGTCTATTTATTATAGTGAGAGCAGATATATAAATTTTACGTACTTATATCTATAAAAATTGCATTTAATGATGTAAATAGCAGATACAAAGATAATATAGCACAGCAAATTCCACTGTAAGGTTGATCTGGAAATATTTCGAGACTTCCATGATCTCGTCCAGCTTTAACCGTTTTCAATTTTTAATGAGGAAGTCGCTTACCTCCGTATAACATCCCTTCAGACAGCTATCTCTAAATTGTAAATTATTTGCGGGATAATATAACTATTTATTTCTCTCAGTCCAGTTCCGCTCCCAGTAAGTAAAAAGGAGATTGATAGCCGTATATCAGATGACCAGAGAGTCCTGGGATAATACGAAAACCCTCACAAATGTAAAGAGTGCGGTTCCAAAATTTATAGAGATTGATTTGTTTCATTTTGAATGGAAACAAACATGTAGTAATTACTGGTAATGCTGGTGGTAATGATGATGTGGCAATTGATGTTTGTAATATTTTTTCTCTTTTGTAGACCGGAGAAATGGAAGTGAAGAACCCTCTCTTCCAAGACGATCCCACGCCTGCGCAAACACCAGCCATCCAACCTAACGAAGAGAACAAGTAAAGTGACCAGACAGAAATAACAATATCACCCTTCAAGTTTGTGTACATTATCCTTTAAACCAATTGATTATCCCTAACCATGAGTATTTTAGAGAGTGTTCATATAGTTTATCGTTTAACGAGATTTTATTAGAGATTAAATATAGACAATTTGAATTATTTGTTATATTAAAATGTTGATTAACAATTATATATATACATACACAATTATCACTGTAAAAAAATCTACCGCATAGATATCTAAATAATTAATATTTATTGAAACTTGGCTCCATATGTAAGTGTACACATATAATCAAAATAAATTATTGTAATGCAACTGGAAACTGTGTTTCATTTTGACAGAGGTATAATTTATTTTGATGGTGTGTACATCCCTACTTTATCTGAAGACTGATGAAGAGAATTAGCGTAATGTGATTTTGAGTTGATTCTGATGAATTGAAAGGGACGCACTTTAATTATTGTTAATACACGCACTAGTCTGTAAATTAGTTTAAATGGTAGAAAATGTAGCGGATTAGTTTTGAGAAAAGCAGGCGAAGTGGGCAAAAATGTTTGTTCAGTTGAACCTCGATAATTAAATTACATACTTACATACAACTTTTTTCATTTCAGCTAATACAACTATTTATGTCTTGAAATATCAACAACAAATTTCTGTAAGAGTGAAATGACGATTAAACTCGCTCATCTTCAACGTGACACATAAACTTCAAATGAGGCTCAAATCTGCAGATCGTTGGGCTAAAATATATAAATCTCTTTTATATTTAGTTCTTTTTGTTTGTTCGTCGATGAAAACAAATTGACTGGACGAAAACGGATTCGGCAAATAACGCTACATACCAAACTGCAAAATTCTTGAGTAAATTCTCTCTACTTTAGAACTATTTAGGAGATATCTCAATCACTGTTCTACTTTAGGCTCATTTCCAACGCCATACCTCCCCGTCGCAAACTACATCGGGTACTGTCGTTCACGATCGCACGGGAACCACAAGCGCGCTTTATTTAAATTCACTTGGAGGGCTTTATTGAACTACGAACTATACTTTACATAATATAATTTATTAAACACGTTAACCAATTAAATGATTAAAAAAACTCAGTATAGTGGATTTAAGTTTATTAATACTGGTATGTATTCATTGAATAAAACAGGATCCTTACAAACATGTTTTGTCCACTTGGCCTTTAAGTATTACAGTTTTGTTTTATGGGTTGATATTCGATACCTAGAGTTAAATTTTGGTATAACTCACGCCCCAGTGTTGCCTGAAGGCATAGTTTTAATTTTTTCTTTCTTTATTCAGGTATTTTTCCACCTGTGGAAAAAATTTAACAATTAGTGAAATATTCACACCAGAAAGATCAGTCAAGGTTTATTTTGATTAGGCACAAAGCCCCATTGTATAAAAAATCCTGAAAAAAATGCGTTTTCATGATTTTAAAAAGTCCATATAAAATAAACACGATTTGATTTCAGTTTTTCATAATTGTTTTCAACTTCCTTATTTTTGCGTTTTCTGTGACCCTCATTGCAGATTTATCCAGCAAAGAAAAAGAAAAAACATAGCTTTAAAAAATTACAAAACTTTTACCTGCATGTCTTTGTTTCGTTGACAATTAATTCATAGAAAAATACTGTAATTACATGTATTTAATAAAATAAGGGTGCCATTGTCCATTTTTATTTTGACGACATTCTATTATTATTTTATAGATTCCTGTTAGTATATAGGTATGAGTTCGTAAAACTCTTAGAATATAATATTTATTTTTTTAAGCTTCATTCTGATCTATACATAATAACATAGGATTTAAATAATTATAAAAAAACAATCCATATATGTATATGATGACATTATCATAAAAATAGAGTAATATATCCCTTAAAAAACTAGCAGGATCCTTAAATGCACCTTATATTTTGAAAATAGTTTGGTTCTCGACAACTGCTTCAAATTATATTTTATATTTTAGTGAAACCTTTTGTTTTATTACGGTTTTAAAGCACAATATCCTATTGAATTGGCTAATATAATTTTTTCTAGAGCATGGCTGAAAAATATAGGCTAACTGGATGCTTTTGAAATACATTGTGCATTTAAAGTTTCCATCAGTATAGTTTAAGCAAATTAGAATAGAAGAAATATGTAATATAATACAAGCTGCAGCATTAAATAATGTTTTGGAGAATCAGTACTACAACATATAGAAATCTATATAATTATCAATGCACATTATTTTGATGAGAAATAAATTAATTTTATTTTACATTCCTCGTGACTTTTTCTTACCTACCTATATACAGAACTATCATTTCATAGTAAAAAGCAGCAAAACGTAAATATAAAATAGCTTATAAAATCGGTCAAATTAGTTTGTTGCCCAGTGCCTTACTTGCCTGGGGCCCAAATATCCGTGACGCCACTGGGTATGTTAGAAAATGAGTGAAGCAATTTATTATACACCATGCTGTATCACTGGTTGCCTAACGTACTAAAGCGTTGAAAGTTTAACGCATGCGTACTGTAATCGATTGCACCTGTCAGTTTTATTTTGATATAGCTTCATGGCTTGATAGTACCAGAAATGTTCTACAATGTTTAATGTAGTTCACAAAGCAATATTGTTGTGTAGTGTCTATGTTTTTACCAATTCTTTTCGTTACAGTATCATTTAGTTTGTTCAATGAAAGATGCTTTTTTATTGAATTTTCGGGGTGTAGGCTTGTGTGATAGTGACCAATTACCTAGAGAACGACCGCTTTTCAAGTAAGTACACTTTTTAACAAATCGTTAGTTGTTTATTAATAATTGATAAATGGTAAAATTATAACTGAAACTGTATGGCTTTAAGGTCAACGCGTACTGGGTATGAAAATTATTCATTTTTGTATCAGATATGGCCTGTTAGAGGAAAAAATGTAGTTATAAATAATGCAAATTTGAATGATAAATCAAATAACTGCCAATATTTTGTGTGACATGTTGCGTTCTGAGGAGAATATTTTTCTATTAGTAAATAAATCAGAATTGTGTTATCCTTCTAAGTTTGATTATTTATATATTATATATATATAGCCTAGTTATGCATTTTCGTTTAACGTCGACATTTACTTCGTTTTATGTACCTACCTATCCACCTAAAAGTTAAACAGAACAGATTGATTTAAAAAATACCTATTTCCAATCAAACTTTGAAGTTTGCATCCGCCTACTGATTAAATTATATTTTCCATTTTTACCAAAGACCACGTTTGGAAACGTGCACGAAAATAATTCTGGTTTACAGAAATAAAACATCCCTCAAAGTAAGGGTAAAAAAACCACAAATCGATTTACAGCTGTTGCGCAAAACCTTGCGATGTATTGTACAGCCAGTGAGTTTCATCACACCACTAGTGTTTCAAAATTATTTTTAGATATTAGCAGTAGTCGTTAGAAGAAAAACCAACACAGATCTTGATATCACCTACAAATAATTCCATAACATATTCGTCGTAAGTAATGTTGTATTCATTAATTCAAACACAGCTTGTGAAGTAACGTTTTGTTCATGCAAAGAGAATTGTTTCTTTTATTTGGAACAATCTTATGTTTATTCAAGTACTCAGTGCTCTATCCAAAATTATATTTAAAGAATATATTGGAGAAATATAATAGGGGTTGTGTTTGTTCTGAAAATAGTATTACTTACTAGAAATATTTGTAGAATGAACAGAATTATTTAACATAGACGATCCTATTTTATCAATTAACACCTCGATTAATACTAGCGAATCTCAAAAAAAGTTTTTTTGACTGTTTATTAATATTTATCAATCATTTATCAGATAAATTGTGTATGCATTGATTCAGGATGTGTAGGAAGATAATACTTTAATACATGCTTATAAGACAAGATAATTTAAATATAATAGGTAGTACATTATGTCTATTATAACATATTAATCTAATACAAATTGTTTTGATAAATATTGATAAACAGTTATTTTAATTCAGAGATAAATCGAATGATAGTAATATAAGTATTGGTGGATAAATAGTTCAGTAAATTGCTAAAAAATGATGCATTGTTACTGGAATTTTTTCAGAACATAAATGTGCAGCAAAGTTTGTCTATTGGGCTATTGATTATAGGATTTTAAAAGATATTTTATTTTATTAGGTACATGAATCGTTCAAAGGGTCATTTTGGATGAAAAACCGCGGAGTGCTATTAAATTAGAGGGTAGAAATTGGAGGTAGGGGTGAAAATGCACCCCTTTCAGTTTTTTAATTGTAGCTCGACGAAGCAAAATTTCACTATAGTTCATAGGAAAAATTATTTAGAGAATTGAATTTCCTATCGAAATGGCTAATTTAAAAAATTTAAAAGGAAAATTTTATGCAAAAAATCGTTAATAAACAATTTGAAAAAAAACAAAAAATTAGATTTTTTATTTTTTTTTACTTTTTTGCCTCTAGTTTTTTTTTTGAGTAAAGATAGGTATAGGCAAAAAAAGTAGATAAAATTTCCTTCAAAATAAGAGGTTGTAAAGCATTTTTGGATGAAAATTGACTGATACATATTTAGAGAATTGAATTTCCTATCGAAATGGCTTATTTAAAAAATTTAAAAGGAAAATTTTATGCAAAAAATCGTTAATAAACAATTTGAAAAAAACAAAAAATTAGATTTTTTAATTTTTTTTACTTTTTTGCCTCTAGTTTTTTTTTGAGTAAAGATAGGTATAGGCAAAAAAAGTAGATAAAATTTCCTTCAAAATAAGAGGTTATAAAGCATTTTTGGATGAAAATTGACTGATACATGGCTGCTCAAACTTACAATTAGCCAATTTTTCGGTTTTTGTCGCGTTTACCCTTCTACGTTTTAATTCTAATTTTTTGCAAAAAAGGAAGGAAATAAAACGTTCAAGGATTTTCATCACATGACTTGTTCGAAGGGTGATTAAAAATGAAAAAACCGGGGGGTGCTATTAAATTAGAGGGTTGAAATTGAAGATATGGTGAAAATGCACTTTTGCAGTTTTTTTAATATAGCACGAAAACGAAACAAAATTTCGGTATAGTTCATAGGAAAAATTTTGTAGAGAATTGAATTTCCCATCGAAATGGCTTATTTAAAAAATTTAAAAGAAAGAAATAAACAATTTTAAACAAAGCAAAACTTTTGACTCTGTTGTGAAAATCTTTATTTATTATTAACAAATATGTAAAACTTTTGAAATAATTTTTATTAAGTAAAGAACCAATTTATTGTAAAAATAATAAGAATTATAATCAATTATAAAAAACGACGAAAATCTAAAATATATTTAAGTTTGACCGGTTATAATTCAGTCAATATTAGTCCAAAAACTATTGAAAACGCATAATTTTGAAGGGAATCTCATCTAGTTTTTTTGTACAGCAATTTTCTTTGCCTACTTCTACTAAAAAAAAAATTAAGTCAAAAAAGTAAAAAAAAATCAAAAAATCTTATTTTTGTTTTTTTTTAATTATTTAACGGTTTTTTGCATAAAATTTTTCATTTAAACGTTTTAAAATAGCCATTTCGATGGGAAATTCAATTCTCTACAAAAATTTTTCTATAAACTATACCGAAATTTAGCTTCGTTTTCGAGCTATAATTAAAAAACTGAATGGGGTGCATTTTCACCCTTATCTCCAATTTCCACCCTCTAATTCAATAGCACTCCGCGGTTTTTTCATCTAAAATGACCCTTTGAACGATTCAAGCAATAAAATTGCTTGAACGTCACATTTCCCCATGATCTATGCGGCTCACATTCCAAAATCTACCACGACACCACCACTTTTCCAGTATGAAAAATATCGTGCATTTATAATTGCGTTACTTCACGGAATCACGTCATCACATTCTTCACTTTGAGTTTATCCAACATTTATACAATTCATTCATTTTCTAAAATGAAAAATAAACAGGCCTTCACCTTCGTAAACACTGTCGTTACATTTCATTCCGATTCATTGCGTCGTGTTGTGTTTCCTATTTTAATTAAATATCGGAATGTTTCGCGGCCTGAAATATTACGCAACTGCTGAAAATTTAATTCAGGTCTCGTTTTATTGGAACATTGAATTTTTCCAGAATAATTATTTATTATTTTAGTGCTAGATATCTTATAACAAAACGTTTTGTTGCATTTCAAAAACGTTACCTTTTACGTTACAATAATTGTAAGTCAAATTTGAAATACAAAATAAACTTGTGAAAATTACTATTTTTTCCATATTTTTATAAACTGAAGGTTCGTTTTACTCGCGCGCCTTTCCAAAACACCAAATCGGGCCAAATTACAAATAGAGGGGTCGTTATTATGCGTGTTGCGAGTACATTCGTGTGCCGAGGTTGCATAATTATTAACAGGAAACGGCGAAGAGGAAGCGAACTTTACGGTCGAAAGGGCAGCGCAGAAAAGCGCGCCTTATTGAGTACTAAATAGAAATGTTCGGGTGTATACCCCCGGCATGTATATCTGGTGCCATGCCTTACCTAAACACCACACCGGATATTGTACAGGTAATGGCTGTCGATGTTGAATCAAATAATAATGGGGTTATCAAAGGCTGAGGAAATATTGCTTTGCTTTAATTGTCTTTACTTAAATTAATTTAAAATAAAAGCAGGGACTGCAAATCGCCTTTACAAGGTACCACATACCTAAAAACAGCCTGGAAATAAAAAAGAATACTTCGAAACAGCCCTTGATACAACAATACATGACACCACATCGCCGTAAATCAGAAGAGCTTCAAAGTCCATCAAATTTCCTCGATTTGGCTTCGATAAAATATGTTGAAGTACATCGGAAGGATTCAGAAATAAAACGAATCCAAAAACATTTATTTTAAATTTAGTTGGTTGTCTGCCTCCATATCTCTATTTTTATTCCTATTAAAACTATCCTTTATCGTTTAATTGTTGGATTAAATAAAAATGCTAAACCATGCGGAAGCGTGCTGGAAGAAGTTAATTTTTAATGTGTTTAAAATAGAATTGTTACTATAGTAACGACATGCATACAACATACACTATTTAAGTGGTATTGATATCTAATTGCGAGCCCTATCATATTATTAGGACTGTGATATTTATCATTTCAGTTTTGATCAGCATCTTGGGGCAATATTATTTTCAAACCAGTCTTATGTGGCCCTTGAATCTGGTTTTTGTCTTCCTCACATATTGTTGCACTGAGTATAATAACACTTATATCTACTTGCCAAAATTTTCAGACAGCTAGTCCATTTCCATGTATATTGTTTTGAATAGATAAATATTGAAATATTTGATGAGCCACCTTTAGTGTTAATCATTATTTTGGTTTATCTTGTTGTTCCGTCAAACTGTCTGCATTTTTGGCACTGAACTACCACTATTACAAAACATGTTATTCATATTCAAAACAAATCGGCAAATCACTGTTATTAAAAATGTGTTTTCAACCAAGAAAAATTTTGTTACTTATTTGACCTAGTTTGTTGTTTATGGGCAAATTAAAATTTTGTTATTAATTTGGAAGCTCGTTTAAAGAACATTTCATAACTAAAACAGGACGGATGATTATTAAGTCATACATCGGAATGTAACAGTAATTATTTGTTTAATAGTTTATTATGAAGATGCCGAAAAACATCTGTCGAGTTCTGTTTACTGGAAGAAAGAATGTTCTATAATTTTAAGGTAAATATTGAATGTTCCAAAATAACTGTTGCAAATTAGATACCAAAGGATCACTTTTTGA